AAATGTAAATGTAAAAAATTGATCCCCAATTTTATTCAAATCAAATCTAATCAAAAACCTTCCAGTCGCGTTTCAAGAATTCTGTTAAATTGCAAGCTTGCCTTACTTCGGTCCATCATAAGGGATACATGTCAACAATTGTCCAAAATTGAACATGAGCTCTATAAGCTTCATCTGGAACTCGCCTAATTCATATCCAAAATTCACTGCCCTTGAACAAAAGTCTTTGGTCTAGAACGGAGAATGCAGTTAACATGTCATAAAAACACCCTTGCAGTTAAATTCGAAAAACTTCTTTTACAGTCTTCCAGCTCAAGTAGTTCAAAAAATCTTCCCATTGTAAACATCAAGCCAATAGTTAATATTTCTAATGTTAGTCTTTCAGAAGAACAAGAGAGAATTCTAAAATATAATTTTAACTTCTCACAAACCTGTAAACCCTCGATTCCAAAGATTTTGGCTCCTATCGAAAAAGTTTTCAAGTTCAGTAAAGTTTCAGATTCACAGAAAGAAATGATTAGGCATCTTATCGCTCATAATGTGAAACTCATGTGTTATGTTTTACTTCTGGTTTTGCCAACAGATGGTGCCACTTGCTTATTCTTGTCCAGGCTTTCTTATCTTATCTAATCATTTCCTATCTTGTTCATTTGCGGTTTTGCAGCTGAAGATGGTGGTTCGGTAAAACCATCGAAACTAGTCCTGTGAAAATTTTGTAAATATAACGCTGATTTTGTTGTTTGACTTCTGAATTAGTTTATTGGTTGTTTGCGTAACTGTACTAGCCAATGGGGTGAAGTTGCCACGGCACAGGGTTGCTGTTTCAATTGAGACGTAGACAATTTCCTGTAAAACTTGCCTTTGCTATGACCATCCATAAGTCTCAGGGCCAAACGCTTAAGTGTGTTGGCATTTTTTACCTGAGCCTGCATTTGGACACAGTCAACTTTATGTTGCCTGTTCAAGAATTCGTGAAAGAATTGACATAAAATTAAAAATAATGGATGGACCTCTGCAAGGCGAGCTTAAAAAATTGATAGAAAGATCTACACAAGAAATGTTGTGTACAAAGAGATCTTTGACATATGAATTAAAATTTTATTAAATCACCTTTATTTATTGAGCTAGGGGTGGCTCTTAAGAAATGTACCGCCAGTGGTTTCCTTCATTGCTCTCTAAGCAATTAAGCAAGTAAAATCGGGAAACCCCAAGGGGCAGTAAGCAAATGGGCGTCCTCTTTGCCTGCCCTGGGTAATTTAGTTTGATTAGCAGACACCTTTGCACAAATCATTTTGATTGTTATTTATAATATCTAGAACAGCGGTCATTTGGGCTTTCTAGTAAATTTATAAAAATAATAGCTTATACTTTGGACAACGAAATTCAATTATTAGATTTCTTTTATTAGGCTCCCTTGCTTTATTATTACTGATATAAAACTGTACATGAATTTTGTAAAGAGAATAATTATTTAATCTCAGATGATTAATTCTTTCTTCACTTTTAGTTAATTAATTATCTTATGGGTTTTAAAAGAAAACTTATTTTATAAGAACTTTTCTCTCTTTCTCTCTCTTCCCCTACCCTTTGCATCTTTTTAGTTTCAATGACATGTTGTCAATCAAATTATTCACTTCAAAAACCATATATCAACAATGAATAATTACTCTTTTTGTTCCCAACAATTCTGTTGCACTCCAAACGATTAAAAAAAAAAATCTAGCAATTAAAAATGGGAGGGAAATAACTTTAAAATTTTATTTAGAAGATTTTTCTCTGTTCTATTATGATTGTGCAAACAGCAAAATTCAGAGATTTTTAGTTTGTTCCTTAAACTAATATATGTGTGAAAAATCGTTTCAATTTGAAGGTTTTAAAAATGTAAGATGAACTTTGAAAAATGACTTCATTTTCATCCACTGTGAGTTTGTATGCAAAATTTGAGTTCTAAATAGACATCAAAGCTTTGACCACAATGACAAACACCATAAAAGAGTTAAGTAAAATCATATAAAACACTGCTAGTTTTAAAATGAAATAGAAAATCGTCTAAATACATTTTAATGGTTTTGGTTTTGAAAGGGAGTGAAGAATTTGTTTTAACCCCTTACTCATCGTGCCCGTGTCTCGTACAGGCAACCAATGTGAATAAATTTTGTCACGCCCGTATCTCACACGGGCTCTGCTTTTGCAATAAAAAGGTCAAGGAATACCAATTTTTATTGTACCCATATCAATTCCATTTACACAGATGGTAGCACAATACTTGTAAGTTGATTAGATAACAATAGTATGTAGATTCAGAATATTTTTTCTGTTAGAACATATTTTGAAAGGATGCAGTTTCAGTGCTCATCGCTTTTTCATGTTTAATGTTTGTAAAATGAGTAGTTCAAGTGAACAAGAGGATTTAAGTCTTGAAGAATCAGGAAGTGATTCAGAAGGCAACTTTTTTTCAGATGCTTTTGATTCTGAGGTATTGGATCCTGAAGATAGTGACGATCCCGCACAACTTTTACCAGGGCGCCAATGGAACCAAATTATGTCGGATGTCCCAGATATTTCTCCTCCACGTTTCCAGTTCAAATTGTTGCCTGAAGTGAATATTTCATTTCAAGTCAGTGCAGGCATTTTACATTATGAACATTTTATAAATGATGAAATAGTTGATGTAATTGTAAAAAAGACTAATCGTTATGCTGAGCAATCAGGTAATGTTGTTGGGAAAAGGAAACTGAAAGGTAAAAGAGAATGCAAACCCATATCGGCACATGAAATCCATTTGTTCCTTGCACTTTCAGTTTTACAAGGTATTGTAAAAAAACCTGAAGAAAGCATGTATTGGACTAATTGCATTTTGTGTACAATGAGTCTTATGATCCAGAAAATCATCCTAACCCGAAACTCTACAAAATTTGGCCTATCTGTGAGCATCTGAATAAAGTATATCAAAAAACAATTACTCCAGAAAGAGATATTACCACAGATGAAACGCTGATGTTGTACAAAGGATGTTTATCCTGGTGCCAATACATACCCTTGTAAAAAGCAAAATTTTGTATCAAAACATACATGCTAAGCGAATCTAGTTCTGGTTATATATGGTCATTTATCATATATACCGGGAAAGATACTTTCTTTCATCCTAAATTCCAATCTCTCTCGGTACCTTCACAAGTTGTTATGACTCTGATGATGCCATTTTCGAAACAAGGTTACTGCATCACCTTAGATAATTATTATACTTCACCAGAATTATGTGATATCCTTTTGACTTATCAAGCAGATGTGGTTGACAAAACAAAAAAGATTTACCTTAGAAGATTAGATATAAAAATATAGTGTTTTATATGAATTTATTTTAAATTTCATAAGCATTAAAAAACATTAATAAAAAAATTGATGATTTTTGAATAAATATTGTCAAAATTTTGCGGCGAGTAAGGGGTTAATGCCATTCAAAATTTCAAATCTTCATAATAATACATTTTGGATGTTAGAATTTTAAACAAATAAAAGAATAAAATATTACATACCAAAATCAGTCTTTAAAATTAAATGCTAAGAAATATATGAGTAAAATATAAAAAATAGGACAGCTTTGCTCTATGCGAACCAGCAACCTTTAATTAACTTTCTGCAATTCAGGATTTTCCCCCTAGACCAGTACTTTCCAGAACATTCGAGCCTATTATGTAACTGCAATTTTCAAAAATTATATGATGCAAACAATAATTATTGTACGAGATTTTCAGTTTATTTTTTCAATTTTTTTTTCAAATTTAAGATTACTTAAATTCGAAAAAAATCTAATCTCTAAATATCAAAATCGTGACACCACATCCAAGAAGTGTGTATGTACAAAGTTTGAATCCAATACCTTATCAAAAAGCAGTTTAAATATTGATGACTTAACCATACTGACAAGCACCAGGAGAGAGCTAAATAAAAGCATATAATAATAATAAAGCATGACTTTTTTGGGAAACATTACGAAAGTTCCGGTACCAGTGTGAAAGTAATAACAGTAAACAATGTTAAAAAATTGCAAACAGTATTAGAAATCAGCCAATTCGATTCACGATTGTGATGTGATTGTTCACAGTGGCTTATGTGTGTAAAGGGAAAGAATACCGTGGTCTTCTGAATGGGTCCTAAAGACAAAACTCCTTCATGTCTCCTTTTTCTCCTCTTGCTAATGGGCAGCTATGCGAAGGTTTGGTGTATTTGGTGTATTTAATCCCAGCAAAGCACACAAGGGCTATCTGCCTAAGAGGACGGATGCCTTCGTGGAGGACTTTCTAAGGGAAACTGGCTCATATACACGTTACACATGGGGAAAACCACGAAAACGCCCATGCAGCCAGCCCGTTCACGGGAGCTATGCGAAGGAACGTTGCATGTGAATATAAGTAGTTAACACAGCTAAACGGGGCTATATAAGTAGTTAACACAGCTAAAAACAGTCCAAAAAGAAAGGGCAGGTTAACTAATATTTTCTTTAACAAGCAAGGAATACTGCAGATTACAGAACTACTCAGATAACATTAATCACCAAGCAGCAAACCTCAACAATACAATAGTCACAGACAAAATCTAAATAAAATGGCTCAGGGTCATTTGTTGCCTCTTATTTACAACATTGCTCAAACAACTGCTATTATGGCTTCAAAAATGCATCTTCTGGAGGACAGTAGTCTGGCCTATTTTGCCAGAAATACATTGCTCGGGTAGTACAAAAATATAATAAGAATACATTCTTCAAATTGCATTTTGGACTTCAAGAAGAAATGACTTATGGCTTACATTCTGAAATTTATCAAAAACATATGCTATTTTTCAACATAATTTTATCATGATGTATTTTCCTTTTACTAATACTTATTTTATGTCAGTGCTTGCTATTTTAATACACTGAAAATAAATAATATAAAATTAATAAATAAATAGAGATTACAAATTTATTACAAATGTTATAAAAGCCATAAAATATAACTAACCTTTTCACTATAGAATATTGATCGAACAACATCACTATGACCATTTTGTAATTCACAAGAAAGCTGTAGTTTCTTTGTTTCAGCACTATACAAATAAACAACTCCCCTGCAAAAGAATTCATAATTAAATAGTAAAAATGATAGAAGCTTTTTTGAAATATCTATTTATGAAGTCAGAATCTAATCTGAAATTTTCAGATAAGGTACAAATGCATCTGCTTTTAAAATATATTACATTTTATAAGCTTAGTCAGCTTAATATACTTAAAGTACACTATATATAATTGTTCAGAACATACACTATATATAATTATAAAGAATCAAAATCAAATTTCAGTTTCATTTTCTATTTGTCATACTAAAGGAAAATATATAATACTCAATCAAGAATATATAGTAAAATCAAATATTAAAATGTAAAACTTTTTATCATAAGATTATAATAATATAATCAATTAATTTCATATTATTTATATATAAATAACTGATTTAATGTTATAAAAACAGCACTTACTGATTAGAACCAGAAGCAACATACAAGGAGTTTTCTACCATAAAACTGTCAATTAGATAATCAGCTTTGTACTAAATGAAATGAAATAAAAATGAGTTAAATCCAGTTTTATCCTTAGAAAATACAAATAAAACAATTTTTAAAAAAATCTCAGAAGCGTTAAAAAGAATCACATATAAATATTAGATGAACTTCAACAAAATAACTGAATTACAGTTAACTGTATACATATAAAATTTATAACAATATTTTAGAGATGAAAGAGAACATGATATAAATCTTTCACAAAAAAAAAAAAAAAAAAAAAAAAAAATTATACAGAAAAGTCTTGAATTCAAATAAAAAATTTTAATCAAATTATTTAAATTTCAGTTCTTTTGATTATTCCCTTTATTTTTTAAGTTTATAAATCAGTTACTTTCTAATTCTTATTAATAAAAAGGATTTAATGAATTAAAATTAAGTTTAGCATCTGAATTAACATACAGCTTAAATAAATTGTATTACTAAATACCTTTCTTCTAACTTCTTATTCCAAGAATTATCTCCGGATGAATATTTATACTAAAATTCAAAATAAAATTAATGCAATGGGATTCAAATATGAATGTGGGCTGTTGCGGCGGTTACAAACAATTACCCATGCATAGTGCTGTGTGTTCTTGGGTGAATTGGATCCTTGGGTCCTCTCACACAGATTAGAACTTGCTCAGTCAAGTCTGGCAATTGCGAAAACGATGAGTGACCAACAGCTGTCTTGGAACACGGATCAAGGCAATATGATCAAATTTCTCATTCGAAAAAAGTCCAATCACCTGAAATTTGGTAGAAACTCCAAACACAATACGAGTCTCTCTCTATGACTCTATTAGTCTTTGAGTGATGTAAGTACTTCAGTGAAAGACAAAAGTATGTGGAACATCTATCACCCTGACAAACATTAATCATGTAATTGCAGTTGTTCACAAAAACAGGCACATCACTATCAAAGAATTTGCATTGATGCTTTCAGTCAGTGTGTCGGTAGTTAAGAAATCATTGCGAAAAAACACTTGCACTATAGCAAGGCATATGCCTGGTAGGTTCTATGCATATTGACAGACGCGGACAAAGTGATGACATACAGACTGCTAGTTCTCTCCTCCAGCAATTTGAAGATGAAGAGAATACATTTTGGAACTCCATACTGACTGCAATGAAATGTGGATCATTATGCCAATGCTGAAACCCAGCCTTAAATCCCACTTTTAAGACATGCAGTTTGTAGAAAACAATGCCATCACTATCAGTGTTTGAAAGTGGATTCACAGCCAGCTAGAAAATTTCTATGAAAAGGGCCATGAAAATGCTTCCAGAACATTTGTAAAAATGTATTGACCCTGAATAGCAGAAGAACAAACCATGGTTTAGCTTAAAATTTTTTAAACAAAATCTAAATTATTATCAAATTTACCATCAAAATTCATAATGGCCACTAAAAGAATGCCAGGTGTACAATTACTTTCTGGTCTCTAGTTGGAGGAACTGATGTCTGCTCCACTTCCTTCTTACAAATACACTCACAACCCTATAAGCCATATTACTAAACATGACTTGTGTCTTATACTTTTCTTAATTATAATAATAAGCTATCTAGAATAGAATTTCTGTTATTTTCACACTTTCTTCTCATAATATACTACATGTATACATTTTATTTATTTTGCATTGCCTATGTTTATATAAACATATGAACTAATTTAAATGAGAATACATTTAAACCTATTTAAATTATGAGCTTAGGATAATTTATGAATAATCTCTACAGATTTTACTGAAGTTTCTGAGCTGAGTAAGCATCTTCAAAACTATCAATGATTTTATACTAAGTTATTTAAATATATACACATACCTGAGATAATTGTGAAAGTTCGTCCCTGGTAGCAGAGAGATATGGAGATGGCTAAAAACAAAAGCATAAAATAAAGATATTAAGATATGAAATGCTTCAAATATGTCATTATATGAGGAATATTTTTAAGCAAGGTATCTAAAACTTGAAATTTCACGTATGTGTAAGAACACACAGTGTGCACACAGCCTTCTGATATTCTTTGCACACAATCCAGTGCCATTTGCATTCATGGCATCAGTCAGTAAATTTCCTAAGGTGAGGTTAAAATATTTAAGAAAATCAAGCAAGTCATTGAATATGAAATACAACAGGTCAGCTGGTCCTGAACAGTAAGAAATATGACAGCTACGGATATCCATTGCCAAATAAGTGAAGTATACAGTGACAGTACAATGAGTTAAAGTGTGAAAATGAGTAAGATTGCTCAAAGAAACTTACAGTGTCATTGCTAATGAATAAACCATAAACCATTTTATAGAAATATGAAATTTAGAGGTAAACAACATTTCTTCATACTTTTACGAAATTATTAATGTATTTTCATTTTCTTCAATAAGAGTTAGTCAATGTGTATATATATATATATATATATATATATATATATATATATATATAATTTGTATGACCTTAAATTCATTTAGTGCGAAAACAAGTTACTACTACTTGCGCAATTGCTGCAAAGTTAGTTAATAATAATTTATTTCCTAAACAATATTGATTAATGGATTATATTATCTCCTACTCCTAAGTTTAATTAAAGTAGAATTATTTTAAAAGAGTGAATCCATACTGGTAAGTTATATTTTGAAAGATGTTTTGAAGTAACTTGAAAGTAAAATGTTAATAATGTTTTAATGGGGACTGGAATTAAATAATCATGAAGAACAAAATTTCAATTGTAAAAGGAAAAATTAAATTAAAAACATGTAATCATTGTTATTGATCGGAAATTAGTTGACTTTTCAAGGAGAACAAACCAACGCCCGTTCAATGAACAATAATTAATAAAATACGTAAATACGAAGGTGTTTCGTCTTTATTCGAGTTATAAGGTAAAGCCAAACACGCAATTCTAGTCAAGCCAAATATTTCCGTGAATAGAAGGGATTACGAACCAATGCTGATACTCAGAGAACTTTTTCTTATGAAGCATTTTAGCCAATTCAATTTGGAGTAAAAAGCAATTTCTGTAGAGAATCCGTAAAAACTCGAGTAACCGTCCCCGACAACCTCATGTTTATGCATTTGAGTTCTATATTATTTGTAAAAATTAAACATTGGAAATTGTCATAATGAAATCGAATTCAAAGTAAAGTTGAAATAAACATAGAAGATTACAAAATAAGATAATAATGCAAACTTTGTAAAAACAAATCAAAATAAAGTATAAAAAAATATAATAAGAACAGTGAATGTACATGAAGATATAAAGGCCAGAAAAGGTATTAAGTAACTTACATTCTTTCTTTCTAGTGGGGGAGTTGAGAAAGTGTTCTCTTCGTGTCTGACTCATAAGTGTAAGGGTGTCCGAAAATTCTTAGCGGCAGTGGGGGCTTTGAATAATAATCAGTCAGGTAAGACTTGGGTGAAGTAATTTATGGTAGTGGGTGGGACTCGGAATTTTGAGGATTATTATGTGGAGTTCTTATTTGAGTGAGACTGTCTGTTAAGATTTTTTTTTTTAAATTACTAGTGAATGGAAATTAATTAATTTCTGGCTAATTGTCGTGTCGCAATGATTAAGAATTTAAGAAAGGAAAAAGGAATTTTCACTGTCCAAGAGCTATTAGACGACTAAAGTCATGGAAATAGGCCCATTTTTTTTTAGTAACAGCATAGTAACAGTATAAGTCTGAAGACAATTAGCTTTTTACAATATATACAACTGAGTAATTACACTATATACAAATCCTTCAACTGATAGTCATCCAACTTATACCGCCTTCTCAGGTTTAGGAACAAATTATCATATCCCTATCAGTTAAATGATTTAGAGAGTGAGTATTTAACGCCTGCTCTTTTAAAGGCAATGGTTGATATTGAGGGAATTATTTTTGAGATAAGGAGCAAAATTTCGCGTTGTAAATCTATTGTAATCTGTGCATATAATTTTAATTCGTTGTATTTGATTAATTATAGTATTGTTAATTACTTTTTTGGATATGTTGGAGTTCCAATTTATTAATTTGTTAGTATTGAAATTGAAGTTTCTTGTTTTGTCAAAAAAGTAAAATTTTTTTGTAGTTAATGATTTGAAGATCTAGAAAGTCTATGCTATTTTGTGAATTATTAGTTTTATTAAGTTAAGACAATTCGGATAAATCTCGGAGTGTTTAAATTTTAACCAAAATTATTAATTGTAATAAGGTCATCAATATATCTGTAGGTGTGTTTTGTAGTAATTTAACTCTGTGGTTGTAGATTTTTTTGGAAGTTAAATTCTTTGACAAATAAAAAGATATTACAGATCGAGGAGCTGGAATGTAAGCCCATTGGCAATCCTCTGACTTGTTTAAAAAGTTGATTTTGAAACTTGATGTAGTTATGAAAAAGTGTGCATTTTAGGTAGGTTTTCCATTTGTCAAGAGTCATGATATTGAGCATATCAGGGAAGAGTTTAGGCAGATCAAGTAGACTGGTATAGATTTCTTCTAGAGGAAGTGAGGTATATAAGTTTTCAAAGTCATAGCAGTTAATGTTTTGGATGTTAATTGTTTGAATGGTATTAAACAATTAACATCCAAAACATTAACTGCTATGACTTTGAAAGTGTTATTATGGATGATCCAGCAATAGTTATGATTAGTGTTACAATCATTGAAAATAAATTTACAGATTTTATTAAGTTGAATTGAAAAATAATAGTCTAACATTTTTCTTGTAATTATTAGTTTCCATTAGCTATAAATCTGAATTTTAATGGTATTTTATGGGATTTTGTTGGGAATCGCATAAAGATTAGTAAATCTGTTTGTAGCTTGCATTGAAAGTAATATTGAGTTTCTTATGAAAGTTTTAATCCTGTTTATTATAGATGTTTCTGTAAGGTTGGCTAATTCATAAGTAGTTGCGTTGAGAAGTTCTTTATGAATAATTGTGTAGAATTGTTTCATATAATGCTAAAGTTATTAGTTGCTTTATCTATTTTTGTAACAGTAAAAAGCTGTTTTAATTTTTTAATATCTGATGTAAGTTGCGACCAATTCAGTGCTTTTAAACTTGAGGTGACTGATTTCAGTGGATATGCGTTGAAGAATTTTAGCTTTCCATTTTAAGAAGGTATCTATGGGTAAATTCAGTTGATAGCTTGCTTTAACTATAAATTCGTTGAAGTTGTTTTCGAAAGTCTTATAACAGTAATTTTTAGTTATGTTTCTGACTGGTCTAAATTTTGTACCATAAAACTCATTAGTGTTTTTAGTTGATGGTTTTGTATGATATTCAGGTTGCCAGTAATTATGTGCTGGTGATGAGAATCTACGTAATTGCTGTAAACTGGCGTCTTATAATGTCATTCTACTGTTTCATCTATTTCATGGTGGTTAGTGAGCAAGTTGCTTAAGGTCCTTTATTTTTATATTATTTTTGATTTGTTTTTACAAAGTTTGCATTATTTTTCTTATTTTGTAATCTTCTATGTTTATTTCAACTTTACTTTGAATTCTATTTCATAATGACAATTTCCAATGTTTAATTTTTACAAATAATATGGAACTCAAATGCATAAACATGAGGGTGCCGGGGACGGTTACTCGAGTTTTTTCGGATTTCTCTACAGAAATTGCTTTTTACTCCAAATTGAATTGGCTAAAATGCTTCATAAGAATAAGTTCTTTGAGTATCAGCATCGGTTTGTAATCACTTCTATTCGCAGAAATATTTGGCTTGACTAGAATTGCGGGTTTGGCTTTACCTTATAACTCGAGTAAAGACGAAACACCTTCGTATTTACGTATTTTTATTAATTATTGTTCATTGAACGGGAGTTGGTTTGTTCCCCTTGAAAAGTCAACTAATTTCCGATCAATAACAATGATTACAAGTTTTTAATTTAATTTTTTCTTTTACAATTGAAATTTTGTTCTTCATGATGATTTAATTCCAGTCCCTGCTAAAACATTATTAACATTTTACTTTCAAGTTACTTCAAAACATCTTTCAAAATATAACTTACCAGTATGGATTCACTCTTTTAAAAATAATTCTACTTTAATTAAATTAGAGATAATATAATCAATTAATCAATATTGTTTAAGAATAAATTATATATATATATATATATACTTTATTAGTAATAGTATTTTTAAAAAATAGAATTCCTAATGGACAAGCATAATAATCAATCATTTATCTCAAATTTTAAGATTATAATTTTACAAGGCATTTTAAAGTCATAACATATAGTATTAACTGGTGGGGAAAGTTGTTCAGCTGTAAAATCTTACAATAAAAATTTACAAGTTCTGTGATATTAACATAAAGAAACATGATATTTAAACATGTGAAATAAAAATACAGTTTTTTATACTGCTTGATAAAAAATAATGATACTTTCCATACTTCAAAAAAACATTAACATGTAAATGTATTATTATTTTACAGAGTTCTTCTGAAATTGAAATTAAAGGAGGTTTTAGTTGTTTGTGCTGAAAATTGCCAATCAGAATACATTTTATTCTGACAAGTTGAAATAACAGTTTAGTTACTAAACTGTAAAGGTTTCTTTGTCAGATTATGGAATAGCCCAGCTTCACTTAAGCTTGTTCACTTGATTTACTCTACATTGACACCGCCAATCCTTAAACAGTAAATTTTTCTAAATTAGGAAACTGTATGTAGTAATTACGAATCTAATAGTTGGTAGAATAGAAATACTAGTTTACAATTTCAGGATAGCTTCATTTGTTAACAGTTTTAGTAATTTGCATTCTTCTATTCATAGTCCGTAATGGCATTTTTAAAACATTCAAATTCTTGATGTTCACAGTATGTTCTAATGTTTAATTTAATTAACTTCTTCCTATAATTCTACAAAACTGTACAGTAGC